TCAAGTGTTTCATAAATAAAATTCCACAATATATCAAAAGTCTTTTCAAAGTTATAAGCATTAAAAGTCCTGGTATTTGATTGCATTCTGTATAATCCATGATGTCATAAATCAATCTAATTTTTTTAATATATCTTCCTTTTAAAAATCCATTTTGAGTATGTATTAATTTATTCAAAATTTTTTTTATTCGTTCAGCTATACACCCATATGCTAATTTATTAATAACATTTATAAAGGCTAAAAGGCTAATTTTATTTTTAATTTATTAATGAGCGAGTGCAAATAATGACTTTGAAAAGTGTAACAAAATCTTTCAGAGAGACTTCAATCTAGTTAAAACCTTACTTTTCATATAAAGTTACAATTCTAATTGAATTCAGCAATTCTTTTAGTTTAACACTTCTCTTCCACCTTCTTCCATATAAAAAAAGACTTAAAGACGTTCAGGATTACTGTACAACAACACATTGATAAGGAATTTTATGAAAAGTTGAAATCACTTTTTTGACAAGCAATAGCATAAACATTTTTAGTGAATGTTATAGTAAATGTTCTACCAAGACGCTTTTCTTACTCATGTCTGAAATATTAACACCAGTGAAGAAGAAAGTTCAGTAGTACCGTACACCAATATATTTGAGAAGTTTGTAAATTAGAAGTGGATACTTAAAATGTTAAACAGCATATGTTTTCAGTAAATATGGAACTTGTAAATTTTTATACCATGTCATTGTTCATTTGCCAAATGATCTTGTTAAGAATTATAATTATATACACAATTTCCAAGGGTATTAGTTGCACTCCTTTTTAGCAAATCTATATTTGTACATTCATATGAAAAGGCAAAATCTATTTCTGAAGCCTTCATGTCAACATTTACAGATATCGGAGATGTTTTATCAAGACTAGAAAATCACAAGTTGTAACCCGACACCAAAACTTTCTGATAAAAATGATGATGTTTATTCCCTTTTTTAAGTAGCAATATACTTTTTACATGCTTATGGAGTTTATATCTCATAGATGTTTGATACGCAAGAACAAGATCTATCTAAGAACATTTCGTAAGAGGAAGCCATCTCATGAAAATTAAGTTGATTATACAAGAATATTAAAAGCCTTGTTTTGAGACGCAAATTCTATGGCTAATACAATGACTTTGTCAGTAAATAAAATTTATCATTGACTGGAATGTTGACGAACGAACATTTTGAGGAGCACATGGCAGGTGTGAGCGATCGGTAGGGAAGGCTTTCTCTTACATGGCACCTGATCCCACCTCTGATATTCTTGAGGTCTGTTTTTTTTCTCTGTCCATACATGTATTGTTTTAATGAACTTCTGAGCTTGATTATTGTTTGTTATTTCCATATTTCATGTAGAGCATTATCTTGCGTATTGAATCCTGGAAGACAGAGGGCAAGTGTTAAAAAGGTATTGAATATTGGTAGATGCAATACTATAGATTGTGGTAAGATTTCAAATTTTCAAAATGTTCCTAGAAGTTTTTAAGCATCCTTGACTGATGAACAACATTTCTAGAATATGCCGTTGGATATTACTCCTGTAGATTCTCCTTTACTCATATTTTTTGAGGAGTTATAAGTTAAAAATGATTTGATGGAACCCGCTGTATTTTTGTTCGTAAAGAGTTAAAGAGCTTTTGAATCCATGATGGACTACCTATTACTATTATTAATACCTGTTTCCATGCAAAGTCCTGAAAATAAATTCTACTGAAAATGAAAAGATAATAAAACGACATATTTTGAATTTTGATATATTCATTGCATGAAAAATCTACATGGTGTTCCTGGTCTTTAGAAGTATTCGATTGGGTCATACTGGGCCACCACTCTGACATCTTCTACCCTACTACGGTTGTTCAGACTGGTGTAAATCTTCACATGTAAGTAACGAGCGCGAACACCTTGCATTTTTACCTGAAAAAGATTACAAATTTTTACACAAGCTAAAATTTATTTTAAAAACCTTATTGAAATACTCTAACTCATTAAGCTTGATTGATTGTTTAGTTTTCTGACGTATTTTGATAAATTAATTTTCTCAATGTGTTTTATGTACCTTGATAAAGTAATTTGTTCCTTTCACAACCTGTTTTCTGAACACCTGAGCCTTCAATGGTCCGAATGGTCCGTTCATGTATGAGGGTAATTTACGGATAATAGCATCCCTATTCTGTAAGAGGATTTGACAGATTCATTTATGTTACTGATATTGAAGAATTTAAAATAATTACTTTCTCAGTTAAATATATTATATACTTATGATGTAATTTGTGAATATAACAAAAAAGATGAAAATACGCTTTAATGAGAGGGAAAAAGTTTACCTCAATGCACCCATTTAGCATACCTTTTGAACCAGAGCTTGTTCACCGGGTCCTGCGAATTCCTGTGGACCAAGGCCGCCAGGAATACAATTTGTCTCGGTGATGATCGCCAAGAGGAGGCCAAGGGCGATAACTGAAAGTCCTTTCATAATGAATCGGATTTTTGGTAGTGATTAGTTCTCGTACACAGCACGACTTTTATAGCATATAACCTTTCACCCAAATGTTGCCAATACACACCCCTGTCATCATAACTTTTACACAGCTTGTTGTTATTGTGAATTATTGCATAGTTGTACGTCATATTGGTCAAGTTATTGAATATTATAATTATAATTAATCATTATTTGATTTACATATTCCTGCATAGACTGGTCATTAATTGCTGAACTTTGTTTTGCAAATCTTTTAAAAGAGATTTCCAGCAGATTTCAATTCATAAAACGTTGTAAAACATTTCATCTATGGATATTTTATTCACTTTGAAGATAAACTTTAAAAAAAAATTTTTAAAATATGACATTGATTGAAGGTCGAAACTGAGTACAGAGAAAAGTGCCTATTCAAATAAAACTTATATTGTATTATAGCGAAAATAAGACTATGATTATAAAACTAGTGTCACGGTAGCCTAGTGGTAGCGCGTTCGCTTTGTGATCGGGAGGCCCGGGTTCGATTCTCGTTCGCGGCGTAAACATAGGTAGTGACTGTTCCTTCGCTAAACGCTCAGCATTTAAAGTGATAGTTACCGGTTTTTCGGATATGACATTAAAAACGTAGGTCCCGTATGACCAATAAGCGGTAGGCGTTTTCTGTACAACCGAATATGCAGGACCCTAACAATTTTGTTTCAATGGCTTTGAGTGCCAAAAGTTTATAAATGATTTATTTTTCTGTCTAAATTTGAAGCCCTTCACCGGCATACGGTGACATCGCAATATGAGTGAAACATTCTCGATAGGGATGTTAAATACACAATCAATCAATAAAACTAGTGAATTAACACACTACTACATAGCTTATACAAATTAATTCAAAATACTTATGCATAATTTGTCAGGGATAGGATCAATTACCTTTAAAGGTAATTTATTAAATGACAATTACTTGGACTTTTTTTTAATTAAGTAACAATAAAACTACTGGCTTTATAAAACCTGCAATTAATTAAACTATTATATACTGAACATCATTTAATAAACTCAGCCTCCGCTCAAACATTATAGAAATAATAAATACATTTATTTTACTTTATAATTTGACATTGTGTTTCTCTGTGATGTTTGAACTTTTTTAGATTAAAATATTTAAGAATTATCCGGAATAAGTTTAAGCAGTTTGTTCCACACGAAACCTATACATACGTTAATAAATTTCTATTGCTGAATAAAATGATTAAAAGTGCATGTGTATTTCGAGTAAATGGGTAACAATGGAAACCCCTCAAATTATATTCAATTGTAGATAACCTGAACATTCTGAATTACAGTAATATTGCAAAAACAAGAAGTGAAAAAAGAATTAAATAGAATTCATGATCAGCACGTATTCGTCCCTGTATTTTAGAGAAACCTGGATTTATTTCTTCAAGTGATAATCCAATTTATAAATTCATAGATCCCTTTCTAAGGAGGAAATTCTTTAAATCTTATGTCAGTTAAAATAATTTTAATATTCCAAAGAACCGAAATGAATTTAATCACAATATCAATAATGGATTCTGAAACTTCAAAAAATACTTACAAAGTTACATATCGGGTTCCGAAAAATGTTTTAAAATGTCTCTCTCTTTTTTTTACTCCGAACAAAAATATTAACAGTAGTGAAAAAGGAAAACTTCAAGAGCAATGTTCAACAATATATTCGAAAAATGGTGTAAATCAGATGTGGACATTAAAACATTCCAAGGAACTTTTGAAATCACAAATTATAACCAAAACCAACAAAATAAAACATATTAACTCTATTTATTCCCCACAATAAATCAAAGTACAGGCTTTTTGACATCATTGAAATATGCTTTTTGAATAAAAATTGAATTCGTTAATTTACTTACCTTGCCATAGGTCATTTGCAAAATTACTAAATGTTAAAAGAAATTGTACACATACGTTATCTGAAGTTGAAATTAAAAAGTTGCTTGAGTTTCTGATTAACAATATATGTGGTTTTTGGAGAGGTAAAAATTGTACCCCGTTATAAGCAGACCTATTTTTGAATGTATATGAAGCAAAATCTGTTCAACATCTTGTTATGTTATTTTTCTCTGATGTTTCGGATGTCCGTGTTTGCTCTGCTCATACTTTGAATACTGTTCGTTATCTTCGTGTCCTTCTTTTAACCACCGGACATGCATCCCTGCTGGTAGACATTCTGTCCCGGAGGATACTTGTCGTTCGGTACCTATTCATGCATGAGTACACAGAATAACGAAATGATACTGGCAGGTGCTTCGCCCAGTATAAAAAGGCGTCACACTCTTTTGAGTCTACAAGGGACAAAGATTTAAGGAGTTCATTTGGTGCACCTAGGATAATCTTCAGGGATATTAAACATATGTCATATGTACAGTCTTCAGATTCCCAGTTTTGGTATAAAACCAAAAAATAATGCAAAAAAATTGAAGGAATGTAAGGTTTCTATTACAGATATTTTGATAATTCCTTTTCCGATCCCATGGCTTCTGTTTCAAAACATTCTGTGCAAAACTGTAAAACCTGTGACATTTTGATCACTAACACTTCTTTCTCCAGTAATCTTACTGGACAGAGCTTTTAAACCAAAATTCTAGAAAATCTTAACTGCAAATCTTCTAATATTGTCTATGGAATAGAATGTAATCTGTGTGGACTTGTTTATGTTGGTGAAACCAAGGGATCACTTAATAAAAGAATATCAGGTCATCGATTTCAAATAAATCATGCTGGTAAGCAGCTTTTATACTAACATTTTAATTTACCTGATCATTCTATTTTGTCAATGAAAGTTAGAATTCTCGAAAAGATTTATCACCACACAAATAGTCCGTCGTTAAGTACACCTTTCCGTAGACAACGAGAAGAAATTTGGATTAGAAAACTAGGGACGGCCTTTCCCTATGGATGTAATGACAATGTAGATAGTTTTGGAAATCTTTCCTGTCCACAGTGTAGCAATGTAAATGTAATGAGACTTTTTAACCATACATAGAGACTTAAGCGTGGTCATGGGCATTGGTCTTACAATATACCTGCAATACACGATGTCTATTTTGATTCATTACTACTTTATGTAAATCAACAGTTAGGTCTACATCAAATTCGCACTAAACTATAATCTGTCCATTTGAAACTTTTAAATAGTCTTCTTGGAAAGGCCAAGAAAAGTCCAATTTTTGATTCTTCGACAGCAGAATATAAGCTCAGGCCTGTGATTATGGATATTTCAAGTCACAGGCTTTTTAAACCAGCACGTTTTACGGAGAAAATGCAGCTAAAAAATCCGTCTTTTCCTTAAACTTCAATATGCCAATATAAGTAATATTCTTAATCACAAAAGGGTCTAGTCTTGTATTCCACCATATATTTCAAGTCAAAGACTACACCTTGTATTTCCTACAAATATACATCGACCATTGCATCCAAACTTTTTAATTACAAAAAAACTTTACATAGCCTGGATACCTAGTATCTGAAACATTATCCTCCATCGTGTTCATGTTCTTCTTCGCCCTATAACTATAGTCCTGCTGGACACGTTATTACAGGTGACGGAAATATAGTTAATAATAAGGACCTTAGATCACTTATTTTAAAAGGTCCTAAATATAGGGAAACCCGATCCTTCAACTAACGTCGGAATTTCATGAATATTATGGAAAATTATGCCAGACGATGGGCCAGATATGAAAAACAAGCCATTGACACCTTCTCAGAATGGATTAAATGTATCAGATCCATGTTAAAGTCGTGTATTGAGGGGCAATATGAAAATCATCTATCCTTCTGTATTCAATAATCCAGAAGTGAAAAAGAATAAGATAGATTACACGATCAATACGTACTAGTCTCTGGTCATTTGCAAAATTATTTTGTTAAAACACATTCTGATTCCACACACAAGTATTCTTAAGTTGACATCAAAAAGATGCTTGAGTTTCAACAATCTATTGGAATTCCCAAGGGTACCAATTTCGCTCCATTATAAGCAGACCTATTTTTATATCCATATGAAGCAGACCTATTTTTTTGTTCATATGAAGAAGAATTTGTGCAAAATCTTATGCGTGAAAAGAAGAAAACACTTGCTGTGGCCTTCACCTCGCCATTTAGATATATCGACGTATAGTCAATTAACAATGGAAATTTCCATTCCTACGTCGATACGATATATCCTGGTGAGATTGGGATAAATGATACCACAAATTATGAAACATCTGTTTCATACTTGGATATTTTACTTGAAAAAGACGTTAATGGTAATCAAACAACAAAGCTTTATGATAAACATAATGACTTTTACTTTTCAATCGTCAGCTTTCTGGTCCTTACTTATGCAGCAATATAACTGTCAGTATTTCCCGGCATACGGAGTTTATACCTCTCAATTGATTCGTTACGGAACAGCATGTTCTACGTATGAATTTCTAAAACGAAAACGACTTATTGACAAACAAGTTGTTGAAGAAGAATATCAGCAGTCTCGTTTAAAGTCACCTTTCCTACGTTCTATTGTCGATACAATGGCCTTGTCAGCATTTACAATTTATCATAAAGTCAAATGCTGATTGATTTGCTAATACTGATTGTAAGGCCAATTATTTACACACTGAGTTGTCCTCAGATTTTTTTCGTTATTTCCCGATCATGACAAGGAGCAAACGGCGGGTATGACAGGTCGACAAGAGGATTCTCACTTCTCCATGCCACCTGATGCCATGCACCTCTGTTAGAGGATGTTTTGGAGGCCCGTGTTTGCTACGCTCCTATTTTGTGATATTAAATGGACTTTTGCGCTCGAATACTGTTCATTATCTACACCTTTTTCAATGAGCATTTTTACTTATGAATAGTACTTGTGTTCTTCTCTTTCATATACTAAGATCAATCATAAATATTGGTGTCATATCATTATTGAATTAAAATTTATTCTTAATCTAATGGAGCCTTTTTGATAGAAATAATCACCTTTATTAGCCAATCTTCTAATTCATGGTTTCTGAGTATGTTTCATTTGTTTTGATTTTAATTTACAAGTGTGATCTTGAGCAATAAGTGTGAGCAATTATCTTCCCCATAGAAAGAGAAGTATAATTCAAACAACAACTAAGTTGAAAAAGTTTGCGGAATGCCTATAGCTTCAAATATATAAAAATCATACTCATAAGAGCTGTACGTGTAGTATATGTGCACATATATATTTATATATAAACAAGGCCACGAAAAGACAAAGATACATTGCAGCTGTATGTAATCATTTTAAAATAAGAGAGAGGCATTTATAGTTTATGACAAGCAATTAGAGGAATAATGCCCTACCACCATATTTCCTGTCTGGAAAATGCTTGGAGTCAAAAACCCAATCAAAAACGTAGCAGTAACATCTGGTTTTGAAATGCTCAATCTATCAGAGGTCTTCGTCTCTATTTAAGGCTGCGATATATGTCTGAGAGGAGAGGCATTTTCATTATAAAATCAAGATGGCCATTCGTATAACATTAGTTCTCAATTTGTTGTGTTTGACTGTCATCAGTGTAAATGCTTTTGGTCGTCCCGGGGGACTAAGTAGAACAAAACCGGCAACCCCAGAAATCCAACGACTTGTCAATTCCGTGAGTAAATTTTGTTAAAGATAATTGGTCATTGAACAGCAAATATTCAATACTTTAAAGGTATTTCAATGATTTTAGAAGCAATCTTTAAAGTTGTCTAGAAGTGTTAGTAATGTAAACGTCCATCGACTGACAGCCAATTCTGAATAATGATCCTAAATGATAATAATATTTTTGCCCCCAAATACGAATGAGTTTACTTAGTTTCAAAATGTTCTCGAATGTTAGCTTTACACTCTAAAAAAGAGAGAAAAATTTCAAGAGAAGACTTCCTTTGGAGACAATCCTATGTCTCCCAATCGATTGAAATGCTTTGAAAAATATTTTGGATTTTAAGGACATAATTTTTCGACTAAATAAAAGAGTTAAGAAATTGAAAATGGCGAGCATAAAAAAATCATTAAGAATCCAATAAACAATACACATCTGTGAGGCAATCACCCCCCCCCTCCCCGATGTCCCAGGTCTAGATGGGGAACTAGTGGCCTAGGAGCTAGGAGTAAGCATCCCCTGTTGACGGATAACAACCGCCTTAAGTCATGTATTGATCAAGTAGATGGACATGCCGTCTTTATATTCACCATAGAATTTCAAAATTGGCGACATTATACAAGGTTGATAAAAGTTCTGTTACATCAATTTTCCTTCAGTTAGCTTTTCTCGGTTTCAAAACAACTTTTAACGTACAAGAACCATGTACAAGGATCATGTTCTTGAGTATCAATAAATTAAGAGATTAAAACACCACAAGCAGTAATAGATATTAGTATAAAAAAGGAAAATTTGACGATGGAATAATTTACATAATGATAATTTTGAAAGGATGGGGTATAAAAAGGATATTTCTTTATAAAGCGACCAAGAATTCTTATATTTAGAACTTTAAATCAATAATTATAAGAAAATTACAATGGGTATCCGCCCCCCTCCTTTTTGCCCTTTGATAATGTTGACATGAATAACTACATCTACAATCAATATTTTGTTTTAAAAAATGTATCATTAATTCATTAAAAAAAAAATTTAATTCATCATATGCAGGTGCGCGGGCAGATCATCAGTAAACTTCCCCTGGGATACGACAGAGAACAATATTTACGACTGACAGCTCATTCATACAAAGAACAGGTTGTCTCCGGCACAAACTATTTCATCAAGGTAAAATCAAAGCTCAATTGATTATTATTCCTAATAAATGGAGTTCTAAAAAAATTCTTCTTTTATAAATTACAATTTCTTTGTTATTGAAATGATAATGCCAGAAAGTTTCATTAAATGACGGTTTAGATTACAGTGAGTGTTGCATACAGAACTTAATCATCAATGCGCAACTTTTTAATTAACATAACACGAACTTCCAAATACACGTTTTTCCTCCCTGTACATGCATGACTCATTACATTTCCATCTGCCCTTTTCACGCAACACCTCGTACAAATATCCTTTTTCTATCAGCTATATCAAGCTTGTCAAACAAAACATAAAACGATTTCTATGGTACATGAAGGATTGAAATATAATTGTATGTTTTATATTTCTTGAAATATATCAAAGATTTAAAGTATATTAGAGAAAGCGACAAAATTTTCTTTTTGTGATTTTTCAAGGCTACTTAAGCTTGTAAAAAAAATTCTTCCTTTTTTTCCACGTTTTGATACTATACATATTATGCATCGATGAAAATATTACTTTTTTATGAGCTCATTTCAGATTCTAAATGGTTTACAATCAGCTTATTATATTGGAATGCATTAAATATCAAATGAATAAATATATACATGTACATAACTACATGTACTTAACGTATATTTATTTGAAATTGTAGATTCAAACAGGACCAATGAGGTATATCCATGCAAGAATATACAAACCATTGTTTGGTTTAACTTCTGTGCATAGTGTCCAGTTACAGAAATCCCTCTTGGACCCGATCAGATATTTTTAAATATGTTTGAAGCAAATGCTTTTTTGCATAGTCAGAATTAAAGCACTATACAAATAATACGTGTTTTCCTGCCATTGATTTATCACCTGTTACATGAATATCGCGAAATAAAAAAAAAGTGTCATCAAATTGTAAGTCATCAGTTAGGAAAGAGATGCTGTTTGTTAGTTGGGTTTATTTGTTTAATGGTTAAATGCATTTCCTACCCTTACAACAGCTTTCATGACGATGATCAATCGATTGGCTTGCGTGATAATTTTATGCATAAATGCCTTCGGCGTTTATGCAAATTATCACGCAAGTCAATCGATTGATCACATCATGAAATAAAAAACTTAGATAGTTACTCCTTAAATAAACCTTAAAACAAACAATATTCAAGCTTTATTGGGAGCAGAGCAAACACGGACCTCTAAAACATCAGAGATGGGATTAAGTGGCATGGAGGAGTTAGCATTGCCTTTCAACCAGTCGGATCCGTATGTGCTCCTTTTCATAATTATGAAACCAGAAAAAAATGTGCTTTAAAGTTTGTAATAGATTGTATTTGCTGACAAGGTCCCTGCATCAAACACAGACCTTTAAATTAAAGAATACCGTAAATCTGGAAATTTTTGCTGTAGATAAATTTTTAGCAAATTTGCGACTTCATTGCATTCGCAAAAATATTGTTCTTAATAATAATTCAACAATAAAAAAATGTAAACAAAGTAGTGGTCATTCGCAAAATTTTGAAACGTAAAAATTAATCAACAGCATTTTTACCCAGATTCGCAAAATAAAATCGATGCAAAAAATTCCAGATTTACGGTATTATTTTATTAAATAGATTAAAAAGAAAATATCATTGAACTTCTTACTTTTTTCTTGATAAAACAAATGTCATAAGTTTATTATTTGATCGATTTTGGAAAGGTAGATTTTGTTCGTTCTCACAAATTTGAAAGGAATGAAATATTCTTCATGTTCTCATATTAATTTTCTTTATTTCCAAACATAGTCTGGAAAGAGAACAATTTGCATAGTCAAGTACATTGAAGTTCTATCTTACATGTTATTTTAATATTTTATTCTTTCAAGATTTCAGGTTATATTTCTGAATTAAATTAAATTTCATTTTACGAAAGATTTTGTGCACAATGATTTAAAAATCAAGAAAAAGAAATTAAAATTAAAAATGCGTTTCCAATTGCATAAAAGTCAACGTATTCTTTACCCTTAAAAATAGAGCTTTGATAGACTGCGCAAGTAAAGTTTGCTGCTTCAACATGTAATGTAGTACTTCCTTCATTGTTCGAAAAAAATAGTAAAACAGTAAAATAAGTATTGTAAGTAATAAAGTAGAACTAGTAGTTTTTATATTTGATTTTCTTTTTGATTATTTTGAACTCATATTGAAACAAAACTACTTGCTGCAATTCAGATCTATACTTGGTACTCAGGAGCATTGAGCCCTGAGGTATCTTTTCCGTGCCAGCAGCTAATGCGACACAGCACCTCGGTCTCATCCAAAGGATAGGTCTCCATGTAGAAGAAGATGTAGTAGCGATGTAATATAGTAGTTGCAGTTGCAGAATTAATATGTGAAGTAATTGTTGTTGCTTTTGTTCGAGGTCAAAATCCTCAATCTATTACAGAATCTTCGGTTCATTGATGCACGTTGTCATTCTGATATACAATGTAATTTTCAATAAACATTGAAGAGAAGGATTCTTAATTGAGATCCTAATACTAACACTAACTACATCCTGCCACTGCATAATCTGACCTGACCTGTTACTTCTACGTGTTTAGCACTTAATTTGATTAATTAATACCAGTAACAGCTGAAAAAAGAATGACCAATCAAAGGACAAAGGTAATATACAAATTAATTAGTGTTAATACAGTTACATTTGATTTCTGTGTTAAATCAGGATGGCTTATCGTGCAACAGTGACTTTTATTTTAGCTTGTATAGCTTTCGTAAGTGTTAATGGCGCCATTCGGCGTGTCGGCGGAATCGGTGGAACAAAACTCGCTACCCCAGAAATTCAACAGCTTGTGGATTCCGTATGTACAAATAAAGTATATAATCTAAAAATCATATAGCTGGAAATTGCTTATTTAAGTTGTTTATTTTTTTTCCCAGCTTCTGAGGCTTATGACTTCTGAAATAAAACACGTAAATTTCCTTGACCGCCCAAATTATGACAGCTTTTTCATTTTGTCCAGCTTCCCATATATTCAAAGAAACAAGGAAATCTTTTTGATTGGATAGTTTAATGGACATATTAATAGTTCTTCATAATTTTAAGGTTATCTAATAAAAAAAAGCAAATTATGCCAATTTTTTTTTCTTTCACAGCATCTTTATTTCCCTTGTAGTTTAGATGGCTAACAAAAAATATACATTGTATAGTTTTCATAATTTATTAAAATTAGAAAATATATAATCATAAATGGTTCACCTTTTAATAAATGCCACAAACTGATTTACAAAGGCGTCAATCGAATTTCTCATATCCAGGTTCGATGGCAAATATTAATTCGACTTCCGCTAGGATACAACAGAGGGCAGTACTTACCATTGATAGCTCGAGCATATAAAGAACAGGTAGTCTCCGGCAAAAACTATTTTATCAAGGTAAAATTGTGCTCATCGGAATATGAATTTACTTGATAAAATGAGAAGCATTCTTAATTAAAATTTCTATTTATTATTACACTACTGAAATACCTGCGTCAGATTTCCAATCAGACAAAATTATGCAAGAATGAAATTCATAGAAACTTTTCTATATTTGAGCACATGTGATATCGCACGCTTTCTGGAACAATAAATGCAATATATGTATTTTTGTTTTAATTTACAGATTCAAACAGGGCCCATGAGATTTATTCACGTAAGAATTTACAGGAAATGGAATGGATTGACTTCTGTGCATGGTGTCCAGTTGCAGAAATCCCTTTGGGATCCGACTGAATATTTTTAAATGCTGCTTGAATAGGAATTTCAAATTAAAATTAAAATCATTATAAAAATTAAATGTAGTTTATATGATGTACAAAAATAGTTACTCTATTTTCACATGAATTGATAGAAACTTAAACCTTTGCAATTTGATGGAACTAATTAATTTTAAGGATAGGATTGTGATAATTCAAATTTTTATTTGCTTAAAATACCTCACATACTAACACAAGTACAGTGTAGTAGTTTTTTTTTTCATACCCCGACAACGCCATTGCATATCAGATTTTTTAGACATACCCCAGTAAATACAAAACGCATTAATGTAGATATATATTTTTATAAAAGAAGTTGACAAAAGGAATGCTTAAGCTGGAGTCATCATATTGTGATATCTTTTCTAATTGCATTTTACATGAAATGTATTATGAAAAAGTTAAATAATAATACATTACCAAAATATTATGCAACAATCGTCCTGGAAATATTGAAAATGATACTGATGAAATCAAACATATGGAGTTAACGAACAGTATTCAAGCTATAAAGTCTATAAAACAATACAAAACAGGAACAGAGCAAACACAGACCTCCGAAACATCAGAGGTGGAATCAGGTGCCATGGAGGAGTGAGCATCCCCTGCCGACTGGTCACACCCGCCAGGCGCTCCTTTTCATGAATGTGAAATGACGGGAAATTCCGTTTTTGAAAATGTTGTTGTA